CCGATTTTCGAAACCAATTATAAATGCCATTCTCAATGGTAATAGGACAATCTCAAGATGAACCCTGCCGTAACAAAACACTGACAGCCATCTTTATCTGACAACCTTGCTGGCAACATTCGGAGGTCCATTGCAAGCTCCATTACGAATATCAAAGTTTAATCGAGATCCATTTACATGCCAGAGTAATTTCATGTAGCAAAGCGCGATATTTGTTCTTGTAGCAATGTATGTAGGAAAACCTCAAGCAGACCCTAGACGGCCATGTCATGTTCGTAACATTAACATATCTAAGACGATCTTCAAAGACGCGGTAAATTTCAAGCAAATCAATGTTATGGACATGACGAAATTACGAGTAGATTAAATCTGGGAGATGTCTACCACCAAAAAACCTTCTGTCTTTCCGTTTACAGCTATAAACCAAGTGGGAGAGGCGACAAATGAATTCAGAACTTTCGTCATAGAGAGGGGACTTCTTGCAAGACGTAGGCGTACATGGGGGATAATATTAAAAAAAATATTTCAAAGAAACAACTTTCCAGGGTGTCGATTGGATATATCTGGCTCAGGATAGTGCCCGATGCTGGAAACACGATAGTAAATTATACGAACTTGCGGGCCAGCTACGTGACTATCAGTTTCTCAAGAAGGACTCTGAACCATGCAATCAGACGGACAATTAGTCAGGTACGTGTCATCAGCTACAGAGCAGTGACTCATCTGGGTCTATGAGTCACTCAGCGAGTGACCAGGTCCGTTACTCCCAGGCTCCTGGGACGATGACCACACAAAAGACTTCCGGATGATCTCGTCAAACGACCACGTGCTGCTGGGAGGTTTCAAAACGGGCCATTACACTCAAAAAAAAAATCAAAGAAGAATGGTAAAGTATAATAAGATGCTGAACAACAGCTTCCACATTCATTTTTTGGTTTGGCACACCTCCCTGGCTTGCCGTTCATTCGCCGCAGATAAATACATTGTGCCAACGGCAATGACACTACCAACATAGCGCAGCAAAAGTCACCAAATATTTTCCCTTGTATTTCGTTAAATGTATGCCACATTGAAAAATATTTTCTACATTCGGTGAACAAACAATGGTCTTGCGGGAACCCAAAATAAAAACACCGACAAGTTTTGGTGCAACGAAAATACTTCACAAAATCGAACAGCATCCCAGGAAAGAAAACATGCGAACGGATACAATTTCTGAATTAAGCGTTCGCCCGACTGTCTCTCTCCCTTCGCGAACCACCGAAGCTGCTGACCTTTATTTCTCCGGGTGTTAAAAGTGCGGAGGGCTCGTCGTCAGATCAGATAACGAAGCTTCCAGAAGCCTCTCGTCCGGGCCACTTCCCGGACTTTGCTTCGGCACGACTTCCATTCCCGGAAATCCAGCGCCATCTTTCCTTATCGGGGACTAATACATTAGGATGACGTCATGAGAAAGTCTATTTCGAGAGCGAGCGACTCCGACTTCCTGCCACCAGAAATAATTTTAAACGTCTGTTTACTTTACGAATGAATGAAAACGCTGATTGGCCGGTTCAGAAATGCATTAACGAGCAGGTAAATTATTTTACAGTTCTGCTCTTCTGGGTTTCGGCGCTGTGCCAACGTTTCTAGGAACATGCTGTCTCCAGCTTCAGGGCTGAAGCCCGCCTGAAGATTGCAAATGGTTTGTATTTCATTACCTGGCTCTGGAACACTCTTCCTTTCTTTCGGGAGATTTCTTTGGAGGCGTCAAAGTTCTAATCTTAGAAGCAAACCGTCAGTCAACAAATTCACAGCTTTGTATGGGACCGGAATTTCGATGCCGTGCTCGGTGGAGCCGTCCACAAAGCAAAGGCTCTTTGTAACATTTCGCAACACGCTGTTCATCTGGAGTCTGGCTGTACTCGATCAGGATTTTCGTGATTTTCCTCTCAAGGTCGACTAAGTGACGGCATCTTAAAATAGGCCACAACTGCTTCTTTCTACGCCCTTTCCAGTTCATTATTCACTAAATATCTTATCATCAGACGCTATAAAATCACAGCCATTGACAATTACGTCAAAATAACCAATTAAAATTATACCCCCCACCCCCCCGTTCTAACAGAGACGACGGAGGAACGCCACTGACCGCTGCTAGCAGCCACCAAAATAAAACAGCACGTTGAGACCATGAATGCGACTGGTACGTGATAACGCTTTCCTTCAGCATAAGTTTCGCTTATAAAAGCAACACAAGCTTAGAACAAGAGCGACACATGTCTCACGTCACACGTGACAACAAAGAAACCTGCACCGTGGTGCCCACCTCCCCAAAGAGGTCAGGTCGCAGTGGGGGCGAATTTGAATGGTCTTTTCCGTTCCGCGCGAAAAAAAATGTTCTTCGACTTTTTCGAGTATGGCTGTCTCCATTTTAGGAGAGAGAGAAAATGGTACCAACACAACACAACGAAAAAAAATATCGAAATGTAAAAACAGGCCTGTCTCATGGAGCAAACACTTGGAGTCCTGAGAACCTAAAAGTTCGACCACACGTAAATTACTTAGGGGAGATCCTTCAATCTGACTGTTGTCCTGTTTGGACACATGGACCAGATGGCAGCACAGTCCAGTCGAGAAACGTATGTCGTTTTTGCAGCAACAAGCGATTATAGATCAGAGGACTGAAGAAGTTGGTGTGCTGCACCCCGACACCACCCCCCCACACACCGGGTAAGCAAGGAAGTATAATGGGGTGCGAAACTGTATACGACCCCCGGATATCACATCCGCAGTTCCCTTTAAATCCCGGCGGTAAATAATTACTGTTAACCGCCTTTTGAACGCAGAACTTACACTTCCCTTCCTCCAAGAAGTACGTCGAGCCTTCATCTCCCCTTTGTTGTGACTAACAAGGGACTCCAGTCTCGGCTCCCTTTATCTGCGCACTAATATAAATTCATGCCTGCGTTATCAAACACAGAGGGTCTATATTCAAGGATAAACTTTCAACAGTTTCTTGGAAAACGTTTGTTCAGCTAGGAAACCGCCCTGACACCAAACACAGCGTTGGAGCCGTGTTTTATTAACATTCTTAACTTCTTAACACGTTGACTACAGATCCAGAACGACTTCCTCTACTCCCGAGGGCTGTACAAAGCAGCACCTTGGAGGATGCTTCAAGCAAAAACTTGTGATGGCAGGCAAATTCTTACAAGAGACGACGACTGCATTTCTTCTCTGTAAATGTTTAATAAAATTATACAAAATGAACGTATTCTCGACGACAGCGTCTTAAGATACAGAGAATAAAATAAGTCCTTAAAAAAAAGCTACAGCCATGTCAAGAAATCTCTCGTCTTCTTTATAATATAAAATTCGTCGTCGCCAAACAATTACGTGCTGAAATTTCGGGTGTTCACAGAAGCGAATACGGCGATTACTACTGTCTCACGGGATGTTGCGCCGTGTAGTGTTGTCCAATTTCGGCAGAAAGCACCTCTGAAACGTCGGTACTACCAGACTACACGGCGTTCATTACCGTGTTCTATGGGCCAGTGTTTTGAGTCAAAAGAAGCTATTCCGAATACATCTCAAAATATTATTCCGTCTTTTAAAGTCTTTCCTATCATTTCTCTTTCGTTCTGACGAAAAAAACCCTTCGCATTACACATTCTCCCATGCGAGCTACATGCCCAACCCATAAAATCTGTGCTTTTTGTTAAGAAAATGTCTCCAGTCACCTCTTACTTCGTCCCTTTGAGGTCAAAATATTCTTCTCGGCATCCTGTTGTCTCCCACCCACATTTGTATTCATCCCTCGGTGGAGGGGGTGGGGGTGGGGGGGTGAGAGACCAAGTTTCACACCCATACAATATAACAAGCGTCGTATTGCAATGCTTGAACTGGACTGTAAACATCGTATACCAGGGCGACATTATCAGCTCTGAGTCATGGCGCGTGTACGTACGCGACATTGCAGAGGACTGATTACCAAATGCTTCGTCGGCAAAGTATGAAGAGTCTCTACATCAGCGCCTCATCGCTGGAAACCTCTGAGTACGACGGATTAGGGACACAAGAAGGTAGACAGAATTTTTGTTGGGGAAACCCATTGAACAGTGGCCAGCTGCGAAGGAGATGAAAGGTCAATACAATTAAATACTGTAAAAATGTTTAACGGATTACGTTTATCTACATTATTCAGTATCGGCATTGGCGTACAAATCGGCAGGCGGGGCCTAAAGAGTAGTTGGTCTGTCGAGCACGTTTTGGGAGTCATTTCTAAAACACTGTCCGATTATTTAATCATGGCCAATTGGATTGCGCGCGAACGGAGTAGTACTAATTTATACTGAATGTATTTACTGCTGTAAGCCAATGAGATAAAAAGTTCTGGACCAAACGTTGGCGGCACTGACTGCTGGCCTCTCCTCCTCGCAGAGGACCGCGTACCTTTCACTCGAAACACGCGGTGTGCAAAGGCGCGCTTCGGGAGTTCGCGTCTCCCGGTTTCCAGCTGCGGTTAGGTTAGGTTAGGTTAGATTAGGTTAGGCCATATTAAAGTTGCATACGTCATTATCTCCTGGGTACTCCAGCAGTAAATAAACATAACAAAGGCGCGGATCGCAGACTGGACACAACCTCTGAGTGCAAAAGTGTCTTAAGAAGAGGTGAAGGTTTCGGTCTGCCTAGCACAGCGCCGTCAGAACACCAAGTATGGAAGGAGGGTGTTTTAACATGCAACCCATGGCGAAACGCGATGTTTTTTTTTATTTTAACAAGGGTGTCATCTCTACTTGTCATGTTCCAACACACTCGCATGGTTTATTACAGATAATTAAATGACAATCCCCCCCCCTATTTTTCGTTTAATGTCGTGTTCATATGTTAGATCCGCCTGTGTTTTCTTGGATACCGAATATAATTTCAATTACATTATTTGCAATATTCTGAATTTTATTACACCGAAGGTCTCACAAAGCAAAATATGTTGCAGTCAGAATTAATTAGTACTTTACCTTTAATGCAAAGCCGCTGTTGACGATTCGGCTCCAGTGAATGTGGCCCTCAGCATACTGAATCTGGAAGATAAATCAAACCATCGTCAGTCTGTGAAGATGGCGACGGAAAAATAAAAGTTCCGAATTGCCCAACAGAACTGAAACGTCAAATTTCTTCCAGCAGACCAAATACGGTCTAAATTAACTGGATAACTTAATAGAGTAAAGTCGTTCTTGAGAAGCTGAGAGTCGCTCAGCTTGTCATGAAATTCACCTCCTTTAACGTAACTCAAGGGTTCAAATCCGCGTTCACAAGATTTGACTATCAGTTCCTCTCCTGAGTCATATAAATCCAGTGTACACCCTCACACCCTATTTAAGATTCGTTTTAATATTATCCCATCTACGCCTAAGCATCCCAAGTAATATCTTCCCTTTGAAGTTTAAAGACTAAGATTTTTCTACACGTCCAGCCCATCTCATCTACTTGACCGATCATAATAATGATATTTAGTGAGGAGTACATGTTATTTCTCCTCTTTTGTGTCCAAATGTTCTCCCACGCATCCGGTGGAGTAATCTTGTGACCCAGAGTTCGGTGTAAAAAAAAGGCAACGTTATGTCCCTATATAACATTTTCGACATAAACGTAGCGTTCACAGGTAAAACCATGTTAATGGCACACTAAAGACTTTAAGGTTAGGTTCAGACCAATAACCATTAGTGATATAAAATGTGCTTACAAATAACTACGAGCGTTGTATTACAGTCAATCAGAGACGAACACTGACAAGCCATAAGCCGTTGGTATGAAACATAGGGGTCAGGAAGGGCACATTCGACGAATACTGGGCCTTCAATGTGACGTATCACGAAATGCTTTTAACGCGAGACGTCCGCTCGATGATGAAACTGAAAATGTTCGTGAGAGGGCGCATCTGCGTTTCTGACCCGAGGGAGGACCGACCATATGGGACACAGATAAAAGCTTAAAGACGGCCGGCACTGTCTGCCAATGCACAGTGGCAGGCTTCGAACTTACGTGAAGTAATGCAGGGTATTTGCTACAAAACTTAATCCGAAAAAGAAAACTTGCATAATAAATGTTATGCATTATGAACCATCACTACGACACTTGAGAATTAATTTCAAAATTAATAACGTTTTTTTGCGTGAAAATCCGTCCATGTCAAAATAATTTACTCCCCAGCAAGCTAATGGCGCCGATAGTCCACGACTTCTTTGCCCGTACTGTACAATGGCTGTTCCAGTTCACTGCACGCTTTTTCTGTCGACAACTTAAGAGGTCGCCTTCAAACTTAGGTCTTCTGTGGAGGCTACAACTACCTAGAAGCCCCAACATCGCGACAGCCAAGGCACTCAGCATTTCTTGTTCACACTCGTGCCACCTCTCCTCGTTTTATCCCGTCTCTTGGATTCCAGCGGACCGTGCAAAGTACACTGCGAAATGCGATCTATGTCCACAGCTGCTTCGTCGATAAATAAACCATCCTCAGTTTGGAATTTAAACGTTCGAAACCGTCGCTCGGCTAAGAGAAAGGACACACAATGGCCTTCCATGACAACGATCAATCAGTTAACAGCGTCGAGGGAAATTATAGCTGTTTAATCTCAAAATCATAAAAAAATCTAAAAAAATTATCGTTAAAGCAGGTATTACTACAGTTACGAGTGGGTTTTGGTTAAAGGTCTTATCCCCATTTGGCAACAGGGGGGAATATAATATTAAAGAAGTTCAATGCCACGTCCTCTCGTTTTAGAACGAGAATACAACGCTTGTCTTAGCGTGGACTATTAATTTTGAATTTCCGGTTAAGATCCACTTTAATATTATCCTCCATAATCTTCAACACGTCAAAGAAAAGCATCCAATCCAAAGTTCTGTCATTCTTTTCTCTTAACACGAAATACAACTCAGTTTCCTGTTTTCGTAGAAACTGCTGAAGGCGAATTCGCAACACCATTTTGCAGGGTGGCCAGGGCAACTCGTTTCTCCTGTGAAGGAGAAAGCAGGAGTCCCCACAGCTAACAGATTTAATTAACACAAGAGCAATCGCGGAAGGAGCGAGCGAGTGAGTGAGCGAGTGAAACTGCTCATTCTGTCTCACTGCTACCCGCTGCTTTGGGTACAGCCATGTGGATCCGAGGTGATGATAAATATACGAGCTATGAATTATTCATCGACTGTAACCGGGGAATACAGCCGTGGTCAATTTTAATTACAGTCTAACCCAGTGTTTACCAACCGCTGGTGGCTACAAGGATTTCTCGCACATTTCCAGGAATTTACAGAGACCATAAAACCTTGGAATAATTCACCACACACGACCTCTACAGGACGGCGACCGGAAAACAGATTTGTAGTCGTTCGTTACTCGATTCAGGACACTTTCAACAGGCCTACACAGCGGTATTCTGCCATGGAACAATGTCCTTCTTTTCTTCGGAAGTTGAAAGTCACTCGGCTAGTCAAGATATCCGACAAATTCCCCGCCTTTTACGGAACTGCAAGTTTCATTACAGTATACACAACAGCCAGACTCCATCCTGACGAATCCACTTCACAACAAAATCCTATTTTTTTAAAATTTCTTTTAATATTATCCACTCATATACACCCTGGTATCCGAAGTGTTCTCTAAAAAAAACTGTATTTCTCATTAAAAAATATAGTTCTCATTTCTCAAGTCAGTCATACATGCATGCTACATGCCCCGCCCACACCATCTTGCTTCATATGGCCAGTGTCACACATGTAAAGCGAAGATAGATACGTCTGAGTAAACTAGGGACCATTAACTACTGGGGTCACAGAATCAAGGTTTCATTCATGCACACATTTTAAACACGCCCCACTTCGCCTTAACACTGCACTTACAACAACAACAACAACAACAACAGTGTTACAACGTCATATTTACGTCATGTAAAGTTTTCGGTGCTGCACGAAAGACGAATAAGCCTTCAGATTAAGAATTACTGCCCTGTCACCGACACGAACGACTAAGGTCGGCCACGCGACGCTAGACCTTCATTACTCCTGCTTTGTAAATAAGAATGAAGCTTTAGCAACCCAACTTGAATGGCGGGCGAATAAAGAACGCCTCGCCTGTTTTACTGTAAATGGTTTCCCGCCTCGTCGCACAAGAAAGTGATTTCCTTTACAAGATAGGAATGTGATCGTAGAAATAACGACACTGACTATGAAAGTGACAGAGCCCATTTCAAGTTTCGTCACAGGCTCACGTAATTACAGCTTATGCGTCTGTAACAGGCGATTAAACTTTCCAGGAGACCCGCGGGTCCGTCTGCACCGATATCTCGCAAACTCAAATCCTGTCGTTTGAACATTTCTGCACAAATCGAAACTTGATCAAGATTTAAGTAGAATTCAACACACCTTTAGCCAAAGTACTAGTTTATACCACAAAAACTCTTGTTGAACCCTGTCCACTGACTGAGGTATATTTGATAACACGACGTTTCGGGAGCTGGCTTTACTCCCGGCTTCAAGTGACTGGTTGTCTATACACTGAAACGTTTCCCCCGTTTTGCTAGTACGCTAACCACTAATAATACGGGGGTTGTCAGCACAATGACAACCAATAGCCTGGAAACGGGAGAAGAAGCAACTCCCGAAACGTCTCTTTTTCGAATGTCCGACAAGAGTGTTTGTAAAATGAATCACGTACTGTCACAAACCTTCACACAATTAAGAGCCCTATTTTACGAACTTATTATGTCCGTCTAATTGTCATTAAATCCTACCACACTAACAACTGAAACATTCTTTAACGACGGAAACAAAATGTGCGGTGAGGTCTCCCACAAAATACGTCCCGCGCATATTCAATTCTATTGGACACGTCAGGGATGTGCCTGCGTCATGGGTACACGTGGCAGACACGTGCCAGCCCGGAAAATCCAAGAGAGAAAAGTTGGCGGCGGAGGCTGCGCCTCCTACTCTCTCCTGGCATTCTTTCCAGCATCCAGACACACAACATGACCCGGGGGGGGGGGGGGGGGGGGAG